TATAACTCACATGGACTGTTCATGATAATGAGCCATTCTTAATACAGTACTGATTGAACACTTCTCTTCAAGAAGGTCATGGTGTTTTACATATATTATCTAAGAACATACCTGAAGTATGGTGACTACCCACTCAGAATTCACCAGGGTCTGACAGTTACAATCTCTGTGAAGTTGACTTTCACCCCCTCTTGGCCTAGGAAAGACCAAAACAAAGTTCAAGTCTTCAGTGGCAGTAGCTGCTTTGTCATCATTGTCCCTTAACAACAGGGATACGATCTGAGAAATGCATCATTAGGCAGTTTCATGGTTGTGTGAACATCATAGTCAAACCTGGATGATATAGCCTACCACACCCCCAGACTACTATATGGTATAGCCTATCGCTTCTAGGCTACCATCCTGTACAGCATGTTACAGTACAAAACAACATGAGATTCAATCAAGCACAAGACCGAATGATGCAATCAAGAGACACGTAGACAGGATATGTATGAGGCTGCTGCCAGCATAGCAGGGCATACAGTGTTATAGCAAACGTTTTTAATAAGTAGAAAAAGAACACTCTAACACAAGCATGTCAAACTCACAGTCCGTGCGCCACATACCTCGTTTATTTGGCCCATGTTAGCCTTTGAGTTTGACATGCTTACTCTAACATGATAGTAAAAAGTATAGTACAATAAACACACAAACCAGTAACATTAGTCATTTATTGTCATGATCAAGTAGTATGCTGCACATAGTTGTATGTGCTATACTTTTATCAGACCAGCAGCGCAACCTGGATGATATAGCCTACCACACCCCCAGACTACTACATGGTATAGCCTATCGCTTCTAGGCTACCAGCCTATACAGCATGTTACAGTACAAAACATGAGATTCAATCAAGCACAAGACTGAATGATGCAATCAAGAGACACAGTATACAGGATATTGAGGCTGCTGCCAGCATAGCAGGGCATACAGTGTTACAGCAAACGTTTCTAATAAGTAGAAAGAGAACACTCTAACACAAGCATGTCAAACTCACAGCCTGCGCGCCACATACCTCGTTTATTTGGCCCATGTTAGCCTTTGAGTTTGACATGCTTGCTCTAACATGATTGTAAAAAATATAGTACAATAAACACACAAACCAGTAACATTAGTCATTTATTGTCATGATCAAGTAGTATGCTGCACATAGTTGTATGTGCTATACTTTTATCAGACCAGCAGCGCAGTAGGTTTGTTTACATCAGCATCACCACAAACACGTGAGGAATGCATTACACTAAGATGTTCTGATGGCTACGAGGTCACTAAGCAATGAGTTGTTCAGCTCCATTATAATCTTACGGGACGACTCTAGTTTATGTGATCTGTTGACCAAAACTTTGTGTGTGCGCGTGACTATACCACCACTACTGTGTTCCTGAGCCTTCTGGGTAGTCTCAGGTCACAGACTGAGCTAATTCTCTCAGCAGCCGCAAGGAAACCAAGAGTCAAGTCTCAATATAATACTGGTCGTAAAGCTGCAGAGATAAAGAGTTTGGGGAGTTTAGTGGGGGAAAGATTACTTTCATTAGGGGATTTTGCAGGCGCCTTCAAACGAGTGTCTGGCGCCTTCAGTGAGTGCGGCCTGCAGTTCTTCATCGTGGGCTCATGTGTCCAACTCCCCTGTGGGGCGTTCTGTGGAGAAGCAGTGTGATGGGGGGATCAGCATCGGGTAAGAGCAGGGAGCTTGATTTCTGATCCCATCCCAGTCTTAACCAGCTGTGTGTCCTTAGTGAAGTTGCTCAGTCCCCTCAGACCTATAAATTGAGAGCATTAGACTAAATGATTGCCAGGGCCCTTTACAGCTTGAGAGTAGAATGATTCTGTCCTCAGAACTACAGCTCCCGGATTTCCTCCTCCAGCCCTCCGTGCACTTCACAGATTGAGTGCTCTCGGCGCTCTGACGTTGGCCCCCATTTTTCTTCTTTATGTGAATATCAACTACCATGATGGATTGTCAGTTCCCTAAGGGCAGGAGTCCTAGTCACTTCATTTTGTGCCCCATACAAAATGTAGGCATACTTATCTCCTCTTTCCTCTCTTTAACCTGTGGGTCTCACCTGAGTCAGCACATTAACCTGCACAAGTCTTTGCTACCTGGAAAGGAAAGACTCCACCCCATCCTCCATCAGGCTTCCTGTGTCTCCCCCTTTGTAGCTACTGTTCCTGAAATAGAAGTCTATATTTATCATATCCACTCTTATCTTCCCTACTACCCCCCGACTCTCTGCAAACTCACATTCTGCCCACCCTCCCCACCCCACCCCCCACAGAAACATCGTTTGATTACTTCCCTACATTAATTTCCTTTTATTGTCAAATCCAAAAGGACACTTGGGCATTTTCATCATAGCATTTAGCAGCGCCACCTTGTTCTTAAAACTCTTCCCACATGGCTCCTGTGAGTTGTTCCTGCTCCTACTTCTCCCACTGCCCCATGGTCTGTTGCTCTCAGACCCCGTGGTTCCGCACCTGGCTCTTGGCTCTCTTCACTTCACATTCCCTCTGTGGGCAGCGTCACCCATGCCTGTGGCCTCCGCTGCCACCTCCCAGAGCAGTTGCACAGCTTGAAACACACACCCCCAACTTCTCTCTCATCCCAGTCACATCCAGTGTGCCCCGTGCAGCCCTGTGCTCATCAGTCTCCCCCAAACAACTTTCTTGTGTTTTCTTTATTTGGGTGATAATCCCACAATCTATCTGGTTGTCCAGGCCTGGGGTGCTCTCTCCCCCTCTTCCCTCCATCCATCCAGTTTCCCCTGAAGGTTAGACCTCCATCAGTTTCACACAGATGTTTGCAGTAGCCTCTTTGTTCTCCCTGCCTGCTGTGTCTTCCTTCTATAATCTGTCCTCCACTGTAGCCAAAAAGGCCTCTTCTAGAATTCAAATTTGATCTTGTTGCCTTGGCTGCTTAAGTCTTCTATGCCTGACATTGACTTTTAGACATTTCAGCAGTTTCTTAGTTCACAAGGTCCTCTGAGAGCTGGATGCCCACTCCCCGTGCGGCCACTTCTGTGCCCCTCCCCACTCGTTTTGGGTGACTTGCTATGAGCAGTTGTGCTCTCTCTTACCACTATGTCTGTACATGGGCTTTTCTATTGTCCCTCCTGTGCTGACAAGTCCAATTTGGCCTTTAGGACACAGATCGGATACCACTTTGCTGAGGAGCCCTCCCTCCCCACCAGCGCCGGCTCCCTTGGGCTCCTGCACACCTCGCTCCTACATCTGCCATAGTTCTTCCCGTGTTGCTCAGGGCTGCTTACGTGTCAGTCTCCCCAGCCACACAGGGAGCACCCGGAACGTCTAAACTTCTCCCCTTGGCCTTCATTCCTCACTTCTTAGCCTCGATCCAGGGACACAGTGGGTTCCTCACACACATTTGCTGAACGAGTGAATAAGGCCTGTGGGAAGAATAGCGTACTCAAAGACTCAGCCCATCTTCCCCCAACACTTAGGTTGAGCCTGTCTCTCCATTCTTACCTGTAGGATGGAGGCCACATTCCTTAGCCTACATCAGGAATTTCCATAGTTTACTTCTGCCTGCTTTTTAGGTGTATATTCTAGTCTTTTTGGAAAATTCTGGTCTATTTACCTTTAAACATTTCATTCTCATTCCAGACTCTTCTACAAATTGAATAGATTAATGAATGGAGTGGGAATATGCGTAGACCCCACATCTCAAGGCCTATGTTCTGTGCATAAGAGCATCTTGCCTTTTAGCATAAACAAAGCAGCTCTGAATTACTTAGCCTCTCATCCCCTGGCGGTTCTCCCTCTCTCCTCTGCCTCTTGTGTTTGGAAGACCCTGGCAGGCATTAGCTGCACATGGTCCTGACTGCCTGATAATAATTTCCCATCATTTAAGTGCCAGAGCCAAGTACCATTCCCCTTTCATTTAAATTAGATAAAACCGGAGCTGTGGCTTGCAAGTGATGGAAGTCCACTGGGGAAATTAAAGGTTCAGAGAGAATGGGACCCATTATAATAAAAGCATTTGCAACGCCAGTGATTCCATCTACCCTGTGGCTCCCATGCTCCTTGGGGTAGGATGAAATATGAAGCAAGAGGACCTTTGAAAGTAGTCTGAGGAATTTATTTTAATTGGAAATGGTGACGGCATTCTGCGCTTGCGTAAACTCTGCAGATCATGCACAGTGGTGTGATGGGCACTGGGTAAAGGGCCGGAGGGCGCCCAGTTCATCTCAGGTTCTTTCTGCTCCCACATAAGTACTGAGCAGACATGGCCCCAAGGCCCGTGTCTCCCCACTTCTCCCCCTCTCTTCCTCCCTCCTTCCTTCCATTCGATCCCACAGTTGGTGTTTAATAAAAAATTATATGATGGCACCTAAATCAGTCAACTGCTAGGCCTTCAATTCTGTTGACTCTGAGACCTCAGATTTATCCATGCAGCAGACAGAATGGCCAGAAGAAACACAATCTGCATTCAAATTTGAAAGAAAGCAAAATAATAATAGCGCGCTTTTTTTCCCAGCACATCCTATGCCCTGTTAATTAAGCACATTACTTGCATTTCTCATTTAATTCCCACAGCCCTACTGTGCCAGTGGTATCTCCATTTCACAGATGGGGAAACCACGTCTCAGAGAAGTAAAGATACTTGCCCAAGATCACATAGCTATCATAAATGGCAAGACCAGAACCACTGCCGAGATACAGGAGAAAACCATGCTGAGTGGCAGAACCAGGTTTCGAACTCAAGTCTGACTGCAGCGCCCATGCTTTTCTAGACTGTGTCCACATGACTTGACCAGGTTCCATTCCTGAACACAAGACACAGGCTGGCATTTGGATTCGGCTACTTTTACCTGGGAGAGGTCTTGTTATTATGCACGTGTCCTATAACATTGTCAGTGTTCAAGTTTAATAGTGTGGGATTTCTGAGACTGTTGTTAAACAGTTGTTCAATCTGCCTTTACCTTCTCACTTTTGTATTTTAGATGCATCATCCCATTCAGATGAAACCTGCGGATAGTGAGAAGTCAAACGGTAGGTGGTGACCGACTGTCTCATCTAATGTCTGTGTCTGTAAGTCAGGGGGTCCGCTGGGAGGGGGAGGTGCCAGCCTCAGCAAGGTGGAGACAACTGCTCCGGAAACTGGCCCTGTAGTTGGCTCGTCTGGGGAAACTTGAGCTTCACTCTCTTGCCTCATTTACCTCTGGTGTGTAAAGGTCCCTGAAGATGTTACCAGAAATGGTTTTTCGTGTCCCTCTGTGTGGGCTTGCTCTGGGTGGTGACCCTGTGGCCTCTGGCTCTTGTTTATCTGCTCCTACAGAGGACACCTGATGGGGAGGAATGACCTTACACTGTGCAGAGAAGGTGAGCGGGAAAGGGAGGCTCACGCAGAACCAGGCTACCTCTTTTCTCTCTTCCATTTATTCTTCTGTGGCCTGGAGGCTGACTTACTGCACTATTCTCTAAATTGTTCCAATGCATTTGCATCCAAATTCATTCAGAATTCAGTCTGCTGATTAAATAAACATGCACGTGGTGCAAAAATATGCATTTGATGAGGTCCACGGAATCATTGAGACTTGACTGTCCGAGACACAAGAGGGTTGATAGCCACGTTTCTCTCTCTCCGGCTTTTGCTTCCACTGACACCAGCCTTTTGTCCCTGTTTTGTTCTTTGAATTTACTGAAATGTATGTTAAAGGACTCTTCCACCTTCTTCGACCTCAGAGCTTGCCCGTCCCACAAGACTGACACGATCGGCACGCTCCCTTCCGCAGGCAGTTCTGCACCTCATTCATTAGTAATCAGGGCAGAAGCCATGCACTCAGAGATCTGCATATCTGCAAATGTAAATTATGATTGGGCTCTAGGTCTCTCTACAAGGTATTATTTGCTAAGTGCAGTGCATCCCATTTTCTGGCTTCTTCACAGGCTAGAAAGTTTTGAGGAGAATCCCATGGATTGTGGGCTGCTAGCACCTGGTTTGCGTGGCGGGAGCAGACCTCAGTGCTTTGCCCACGATCTTCTCCTCAGCCACACCTTCTCGGAGGGTTACCTCCCTATGTCCTCCTCTACTTCATCACCAACACGCACTTGGTGTCGGAGGGTCTCAAACCCGCCACTGCTTTGTTGTGGGATCTCGATCAAGTCCCTTCATTCCTTTATTAGACAGTGCGTTCTGATAATGTACTGTGTGCCAGGCACAGTACTGGCTGGGGCTGCAAGAATGAATTTTAAAAAGAACTGTCTGCAGAAGCCTGCCCTGACCTCATGGAACTTGCATTCAGTCTACTGATCTCTGCTAGTCACTCAAAGACTGAATTTGAAGGCCCTCATCCATAAAATAAGAATGATGGTAACTGCCTCGCATAGGTTGCCCTTTTTTTCAGACCTGGACAAGGTGTTTGTCACATTGCTTTGTAAAGGATGGAGCACCTCTATACATATTGACTATTGCTATCCAGATTTGTCCCTGGCCCTAAAGGGTTCTGCACTGGGCATGTCCTCCCATGCTGAAGGCCGTGCACTCATGCCAGTTCCCAGAACCCTTTGCTCCAGAGTGCACATTTACAGTCTGTTCTGCTCCCTGTGGGAGAGAGGAATCTTGCATTCATGGGATGAATTCTGTCAGTGAAGGTCCTCTTAGAGTTCTGGCCCAAAGAGATGTTCCCTGTCCTCTGGCCCTATCACTCTGTAAACTGTGTCCATACAGGGACCAGGGAATGAAAGTCTATGGAAAAGGGATCATCTTATTTCTGAACCTTAGGTCATAGTTATAAAGATGTGATGAATTAGAGACCTGAGTAGGAAACATTTGACCTGAAATACCCAAATAATTGAGCCACGAAAAGATTTCTTCTTTTGCATTTTCCAATGTCCCAGGGCACAACCCCAGACTTCCATAGAACAGCTGCAGGGGGTCTCAGAATGGCCCGTTGCCCTTGCTGTCCACTGTCTACTCTGCACACTGAGGGTAATGTTAGCCACAGCAACAGAATAAAGCTGCCATGATCTCAAAAACCAAGCAGGACTGGGCATTGTTTTACTAAGATGAGAGAATACCTAAAAATAAGGCCATTTTTCAGGGAGCATCCTAGAGTAGCAGTTAAAAACCAGTTTGAGGAGCCTGGACTTGACCCCTGACCCTGCACTTGTTAGCTGCATCCTTGGTCATCTTCTGCAACCTCCCCTGGCCTCCTGTGTCCAGCTGTAATGGGGCTGCGGTGTTAGGTAGTTGGAATTCCACTGGTAGCACTTGCCTCACAAGGGTGTCTGAGGGGTACATAAGTCACTATCTACGAAGACTGAGCATAAAACCTGGCACATGGTAAATACTTGCAGTGCTGTTACCGATGTGAGTCAGGCTCGCTGAAGCTGGTACTTCCAGCCGTGGCTGTTCATATCAAGCATAGACCTGAACACACAAAGGAGCCCCCCAAAACCTTCTTGTTGGATCAGTGCTCCCTTTGCTTTGTAGATTGGCCTTCATTTCCTGAGTTTCCAATAAAAAAAAAGTCAAAGTATAAGTGGACCAAATTCTGCTTTTCAAGTGCTCTTCTTTTCGGAGGCTCCAGTGGAGCTCACCTTGCATAGATGTGAATAGGATTCAAGGTTCTCCTTGGACCTGGTGGAGGAGTCGAGGAGCCCCCCAAAACCTTCTTGTTGGATCAGTGCTCCCCTTGCTTTGTAAATTGGCCTTCATTTCCTGAGTTTCCAATAAAAAAAATTCAAAGTATAAGTGGACCAAAATCTGCTTTTTCAAGTGCTTTTTGGAGGCTCCAGTGGAGCCTACCTTGCATAGATGTGAACAGGGTTCAAGGTTCTCCTTGGACCTGGTGGAGGAGTCAGGGGGAATGTATACTTTCCCAAAGCAAGTGATAAGAGCTGCAAGCCTTTTCTGATTTCACATGGCAGCTTTGACAGGTAAGCATAGTTTCCAAAGCTCAGAGAGCACCAAGATTGCTTTGGCTCAGATGCTCGAAATAGCTCCAGTAGTTGTGAAAGAAGTCTGACGAGCTCTAATTGCACTTATATTGAGTTTGCTGACATTTATGGATAGCACAAAGGCCTCATCACAGTTAGACAGTTACTGCCTTCATTAGCAGGATGTTCTGATTTCTAAAACTTTGTATTTTCTGAGCAAGACAGGCTGCTCATCATAGATTAATTAGTGATGGACACGTGAATTCCAGAAAAGCAATCACTCTTTTCAGCCTTCATCCATGCAGAGATTCTGACCAAGGGAACCTCTGTGGTGAGCTCAGAAATGTTGGACTGCTCTCCAATCTGCCCTGCACATCCGTATTTTACTGACCGGGCTCCCGAAATCTCCCTGGCTTCCTCTAGTCTGTCCTTTTCATTGGCTCTGATTTAAGCTGCAGCCTCTAGCACATTTATGCCAACTCACTCGTTTTGCTCCTGCCTTCATGCTTCTATGCAAGGTGTCTTCCCCGCGCACACACACAGTGCATTAGCAATAAAATGCTTCAGCCTTTAAGAAGAACACACTGAATCAGTACCCAAATTTCAATAGAACCCAACTTTTTTTGTTATTTCTCCATTGCACATAGTCCAGTGATGGTGGGGAAGGGCATTGGAGGCACATTTATGCCAACTCACTCGTTTTGCTCCTGCCTTCATGCTTCTATGCAAGGTGTCTTCCCCGCGCACACACACAGTGCATTAGCAATAAAATGCTTCAGCCTTTAAGAAGAACACACTGAATCAGTACCCAAATTTCAATAGAACCCAACTTTTTTTGTTAGTTTTCCATTGCACATAGTCCAGGGATGGTGGGGGAAGTGTGGCTTTGAAGAAGGTGTGGCTTTCAGGGACCAGCATATGCCAGCACAAACATAGTTACTCTCTTCAATTTCGTGTTATCATTGGAGGGCCTGTTTTCCACCTTTTAATCCTTCATCACTATACAGGAAAAGATACCAGCAGTGCAGTATTGAAAATTAAATGCAGTTGCTAGATCTGAAGTTTGTCTAGCCGTGAGTGATAGGAAAAGCATAGAGTTGCCTCTGGTTCTGTGCTTGGGGCCCTGGTGGCCGAAGCTGGTGCACACTCTTGCGTCATGCTCCTGGGTGAGAGGCTTGCCCTTGACTCTGTGGCCAGAGCATAAATCCATCCTGCTTTCACCCTCCGCCTTCACAACTTGTAGGGGTCCTTGAAGCCTCAAATCCAGAAATGTCATTCAAGACCCCTGTCTCTTTTCCCAAAGCCTCCAAAATCCCCAGGGTGTCCATGTGCCCAGTTCAGAGCTCTCAGGGGTCAAGATAACCAAATATTGCCCGGGAGGGTAAAGACCAGCAAGGCTCCAATACACATAGTTATACAGGGCGTTCCTATCCGGCCCGTTTCTGATTTACTAGAAGATGAAGAAATAATTCTGAAATTCAAAGTGGAGAAACACACGGATTTGGAGGCAGTAATTAAATGCCATATGTTAGTACTAACACATTGAAAAGTTGTTAATTAATTCAGGCCACCCCAAATCCAGGTGTGACTTTGACAGGTTGTATACCAGGGTGTAAGCACAGGCTTACAATTAGGAATTGCTTTAAAATTTAAGTTCCTCTTCCCGGGACTTAAAGAAGTTCTCACTTATCCTATTAACCCTTTCTTATTTAAACTGTGGGAGGAAAACTTGGAGTGGTCCCTGGTCTGGAGCCCCTTCCAGGCCTGCCATTGTTGTTACTGGCGGTAACCCGTCCGTGCAGCACTATGGGCATTGGTCTTTCCCCTCGTTCCCCCGCTGGTAATCCTAGAGGGAAACAGGCTTTTTCCCAAGAGGACAAAGACCCTCTCTTTTCTTTTTTCTTTTTCTTTTTTTAATTTCCCTAAAGCACTTAGCAGAATACTGTGAACATGGTTGGTTTATTTAAACAATCAGCATTCTTGTGGATTGAAAAAATAAGTAAGATACTTACTGCCTGTTCATCAAACATTGATGGAAAAGTTAAGTGAATTGGAGAGCATCATATTTATTTAAAATGTTGACAAACCTGTTTAGAGGGATCCTTAGCGTGGGAGTCCCAGGAAGAATTTGTATGAATAAATTTTCACTGGAAAGTCAGGAAAACTCAAGGAAGAGGGAGGGTGGGTATGTGTAGTTATCCCCATTTTGCCATCAAAGCAAACATGGCCCAGCTGTTAAAACCACAGAGCAACCTTGACTAGCAAAAGATTGCAAACATCCAGCTCCCTGTATGCACACACACACACACACACACACACACACACACACACACAGATTAGCATTTTGACTAGGATACAGATGGTATAGATTCTAATTTTTTTATTTTTAGCTAATAGGTGTAATTGAAAAAAGTGAGAGTTATCGCCCATCTCCCTGTCTCAATCAACCCTTCATGGTGACTAGGAAGTCAGAATTTCTTAAATGGTTTTCACTATTTTAATATTCATCTTAGTTTTAAAAAAATCATTTTTAGCGTACTGAGGAGCTGCATGTTTGTTTATTATCATATCCCTCTGAAGCTCAACATCTACAAATTGTTGTAGCTAAATACCATAATCATAGGTTTACCAGTGAAACCAAGGACCGACTGGGAATGTGTTATTTGCTTTTGTCTAAAAGAACTAAAACCAGAGTTTTTAGGATTAGAAAAAATAAAACAGGAATTTATTGTTACGATAGCAGTCGCAGCCTCCCCCAGGCAGAGCCCCAAAGATGAGAGGGAGGACGGAGGGTAAGAAAGACCCTAGAGGTGATTCCCTTCCCCCTGCCCCTATCCAGTGGGTTCCTGCACTTCCGTTCCAGCCTGAACAATATCGTGTCCTCACAGTGGAGGGTGTCCTGGTGCTGGAGCTCACAGCACCCCATGGGAAGGAAGCTCCGTTCTCAGGTACCCCATGTTTCCAGCACTCAGATCATTGTTGTGCCAACGCTGCCCTCGACTTCCTGTGCTTTTACCAGTTCCCAGGAGGTCATGGGTAGTTCACTGACTCTGCAGGGAGAAAAGATAAACTGAAAAAATGTTTTATCTACATACAGGAAGTCAGGTCCTCAGTGGCCTCCCTCCAGGAATCAGCAGTGACCCCCAGGGCCCATGGCAGCCTTGGACCCTCTGTTACCTTCCTTATGCGTTGAGCCCCTCTCTGCAGAAGAAGCAAGTCACGGTGTCTGTTGTGCTGAAGCCAGGCTGCTTTGCTCCCTCGGCCCCACAGGCAGGCCTTCCTCACTGCGGGTTCTGCCCCTGCCCCGTCAGCGTGTTGTCCCCCTCCCGCTGCCAGCCTATCTGGACCCTGCCGTGCGTCTGGAAAGCCAGCTTCACGTCCATCTTCCATCAGGCCTTTCTGAAAAACCATGAGCACAGTTCACAGTGGACAAGTCCTGTGGGATTGTGGTTTCAACCCGTGTTCCTTGGAGCCCGGAGTTCCTCTGCATGGTCTTCGCAGCAACCACAAGTGTGGGAGAGGCTGCACAGAGGGGCTCTGGGCTCCAGCAGGCCCCCCACCCCATGTGCTTCAGTCAACCAAAGCTTGTGGCTGGGCCACTTCTCTCCAGTAGAAGTGGAGGAGAGAAAAGAAAGAGGAGAGGGAAAGGAATAGAGTTTAAGCCTTCATTTTATAGATGACAGAACATGTCTGCAGAGGTCGGCTCATTCTCCAGCAACTGAATGGCTGCCCTGGACCTGGGACCCGAGGTTCCTAATTCCAGCCTCGCTCTCCCCTTCAGGCCTCATCTGCCGCCTCTGGGCTGCCAGGCAACACAGTGGAGTGGAAAAAAGCCTGGGCTGCCCTAAGATACTGGCTCATGGTCCGGGTTAGACCACCTCCTTGCTGAATGACCCAAGCAAATCCCTCCCCCCGGCCAGGCCTCGGAATCTCTCTCAGAGCCAAACAACACACCTCTCCAGGCTCTCACGTCCACCCTGGGGTTCTGTGACCTGAGCGGCTAGCTGTCTCACCTAGACCCCTCGGACCTGCGCTGTCCGAGAGAGTAGTCACACATGGCTTTTCACATTTAAATCCGCTAACAGCAAATTACATTAACCTCCAGCACCTCAGTCACAGGAGCCACACGTGCTCCAGCCACTGCAGGGACGTCACTAGAACTTTCCCTTCCTGCGAGCTCTGCTGGTCAGCCTCGGAGTCGGCGCCTTGAGCCACATCACTGCTGCACCCGCAGCTCCTCTGTCCCCAGCCAGAGGCAGAGGCCGTGGAGTGCGGCTGACGCGCCAAAAGTAACTGGCCTAGGAGGTCTAGAGGACAGTCTTGTGGGTTGGGTGAAAGAGACACTTACTCTCCAGGAAAAGGATGAGAGAAACAAGTACAAGATTATGAAGCACGTACAGAAGGTTTCTGCAGGGCGATGTCTGGCGGAGCCCTTCCCTAGGCCAGGCCGCTCTGAGGGGCTGCTACAGCCACGGCCCTTCCCTCTCATTCTACGATGAACGGACAGGAACATGGGAGCGGCAAGCCTTCCCCCTGAGGGTTCGGTGACAGTCTCTTGCTCTCTCCTGAGAAAAGACTCCCGGCCCAGTCCTGAGCTATAAGGGCACCTTTGAGGCTCAATGTGGGAAGTCGTCCTGAGCACAGGCGTGGAGATTTTGAGGAAAATCTCCCAGGTTGTCTGAGGCAAACCTTCCCTCATCTTTTCCCCCATCAGGTTCCAAGCTTAAAATGTGCATGTTGTTGTCATGACATCCAAAGTGCATTTCTGTTCATCAAGAGCCCTGCCTCCAAGTGGGAGGAAAAGTACTGTTCCCTCCTTGTTCTTTTCTTTTTTTTTTTTTCGGTAAGGGCTTCACCCCGAGCATGGGGTCAGGACAGGGCCATCCTGACATAATTCTCAAGTAGCTGCAGCCCCATTCTCTTCACTGGGTTCGCCTTTCTCTCTCCTTTAAGCACACAGACGCCTGCTGTCCTGGTGAGGGCTGCGGGGCAGAGGTCGCTGACTGGGTTTCCAGAGAAGCAGGCGTCTCTCATCGCCTACCCTCCGCTGGGTCTGTGGGGACCCAGCTACACGAAATCGAAAAGGGATGTTTTCTTCCCTCCAGTGCTTTGTTCAGAGTTTTGTTTACTGTTCCACTACATCTGTTCCTTTAGTTTTCCCTCTCCTGACCTTTTTCTTTCCCTGTCATTCAAAAAAATTGACTCCAAAAATATCTCTGTGGCATGGTCATATTTAGCCACTACATGGAACTTGCCACAGTTTGGTAAACACATGACCATCAGTGTCCAAAAGGGGGGAAGAACTCCTTGGTGTCCTGTGTCCCGTGAAGCTCATTATTGGTGAGAGCGAGCTCACAGAGCGCAGGTGCCGGGAGGGCAGGGGGGGCACGCGGAGGCGGCCCTGGGCCCCAGCGCAGGCTCCCGTGGCTGGCACGCGGTCTGACGTGGTCGTGAAACATTGATGACAAGGAAAACGAGGACAGTGGCCTTTGCCTCATGCATTATGTTTCCTTCCTAGCTGTGGAAGACAGAAAGTTGTTCATAGGAATGGTTTCGAAGAAATGTAACGAGAATGATATCAGGGTGATGTTCTCTCCGTTCGGCCAGATAGAAGAGTGCCGGATCCTCCGGGGGCCCGACGGGCTGAGTCGAGGTGAGTGAGCTGTCGCGCAGGTCTCGTTCCTGAGGCGCTGATTGGAGCTCTGTGTCACGGTCAGGGCAGATGCAGCTTCCGCACGCAGCCAGGGTTACCCCGTAGTACATCCCGCGTGGTACAGTTATCCAAGCTGAACTTTTCACCGTAGCTCAGATGATCACATTTTATTTCTCAAGTCGGAAGGTCCTGGTGCCAACATATTAGCTCAGGTTATCACTGTCAGATGGGAAGCCGGGCAGCCTGCCCTGTTGTTACACATGCCTTTTCAATCGCAAATTGAAGTAGGTCCTGGGGTGGTGGGGGTGTAAATGTGGGAGAGGAGCAGGAATACTTACTGTTCTCATCTTAGTCTCTGGCTTTCCGGTTGTGCCTAAAAGAAATGTGGAGGGTGTGGGCCTCTTGACTGTGGTGTAAACCAAGGAAAACGGCCCACACTGCCACGGAGAGCAGGGCAGATAGGCACTCAGAGGAGCTGGGCCCTTCCGGGGGCATCGGGGTTTTACGTCTCAAGACTCCTGGAGTCCTGGACGCAGGGAGCCCATTTAGTGACAGGGAAGTGACTCCGTCCAGAAGATGGTCACCGTGGTGGAAGCAAGGCTGCGGCTCGAGCACCGTGAAGCCGGTATTTTTGCAGGCAGTTACACAAAGTAGCTGGAAATAACTATTCTCTCTCCATGTTTGCCGTCTCCTGTGACAAGGCCACCCCCTGCCTTTTTAAACCACTCATAAGGGCTGCCGCTGAACGCTGACATTCTTCTGGTAGCAGTTTCCCCAACAGTCCAGCGAGGCCCCACTGAAAGCAAGTACATAGAATACGTTTCTCCTAAGAAATCCGTACTTTTGCAACACTGAAAGGATTTCATTCCATTAATGCAGTTATCAGCGCAAGTTCCGTGGGGCTAATTAGAACCGTCTTTTCCTTCCCAGTCTCTGGTTCTGGGGCAGCACGGCCATCCCAAACCGCACGCGGAAGAAAAGGCTGGGCACCAAGTATCACAGCTCTGACTTTCACCCGTCTCCCTCGTTGACTTAAAGTCAGCACCACGTGCGGGAGCACATTTGTTCTTTTGACTTTTAGACATAGCGCTTCAGGATGTCAGCTGTCAGAATGGCAGGCACAGAGAACAAACGTGTTCCACCCACATCCACCTCCACGTCCCCAAATGGAGGGGCTCTGGAGCAAAACTAGGAGGAGGCGGATCAGCCTCGAGCTTGCCATCCCTGTATTCTGCAGGTGGTTAAAAAAAATAGAGAAAGAGATGGGGGAGGAGGCATGGAGATCACAAGCACGATCTAGCAATTCTGAAACTCTCATTATGAAACCCTCACTGATGAGATGTGGTTCTCTAAAAACTGACCAAGACGGTGGTATTGAGGGCTATCCTAAACGGCAGGCCCAGCGCCTCCATCTCATCTGTCGCTCTCCACCTAGGCATAACCAGCATCACCCAAAGCAGTGCGCCATGCTGGTGACCCGCACAACCACTGGCTCCTGTACAGCCTCCCATCAGAAAGCCACTAGGATTTCCTTCCTAGCCCTCCGTGCCACCCTGGCAGATTCACACCATGAGAGCTTCTAATCATATGTGGTCACTGGTTCTTCTGCAGTTACGACACACATGTGCCCACTCAGGCAGACAAGCCAGGAGAGAGAATTCCAAGGGAAAAAGCAGGGTGGCAGACAAAGGGTAGAATGTGTAGGAAACACACAATAACATTTTTCCAATCCCTTTCTGCTGCCACGTTCATCACTGGAACCACCATTCTCTCCTGTTGCTATTCTCAGTCACTCTTCTGTGTTTTCACGGTATTTGTTCATGCACCAGGGCCTCTGGCACTGAGAGCAGAAAGGCAGGCCCTTCAGTTACTCACAGTGGGATTCACAGAGGCTTGAGGTCGCTGACCCCCAGGGCCCACCTCAGAACTTCTCCCGGCGTGAAATGTCCCTGCAGTCATTTCATCTTCCCACCTCTCTGCCTCAGTTTCCCCATTTGTAGATGGCAGAAGTCACAGTACCTGCCCTGCGTATCTTATAATGCATCATGGGTGAGCACTGTGGGAGATTTTTAGTACAAGCATGCCGTCCGCCTGGTTTAGTAGAGACCTTGACCGTGAGTTAGAAGGGCATGACTTCCACTCTCCCTCTGCAGGGCAGGGCCTGTTGGTCCAATGACAGCCCCCGTCCACCTTTTTTTTCTTTGCATATGTCCAGTGGGGACAGTCAGGAATGGCTTTGGTGCCTGCAGTGTCTAGAGCTCCCTGAGCATCCATGAGTTATTTCTGCCGATTAGACTGTAAAGCCGCCCGAACTTACATAGGAAAGAGCTGTGCACAGGACTTGACGAGGGAGTTGGCCAGTTGGATCGGCCATTTGCTTCCTAAACCGGCACTAGACCCAGAAGCGGCCTGCTTCTGAAATGAGTCAGGGAAGACCCTCATCCCTGGTTTATGCGAATGCTGGCTCCATGTGAACAGCAGAGTCCCCCTTCCTGCCCCCACCCTTTTTTTGAACAGAAAAGTAATTTCTGATGAACTGATGAGCATTCCCTATGGCAAAGAAGAAAATACTCATTTATAACCATTTGTTCTGAAATATAAAGGCAGACAGTGGTAGATTTTTCAATTAGCAGGACCCAGGGACTCCTGGGTACAGGGGACCACTCCTGAATCAGTGTATTTGTTAAAGGAACAATTCTCTCCCAGGCTACTATTCTGCTTTCATTAAATAATTGCAGTTTTCAATCAAATATTAATGTGTCTCCCATTAGTGGCACCGCAGATAAAGGGCGCTCAGCACTTCTGGTCTCAGTGCCTGTTGCCGGCTCAGCTGTTTCAAAAATAAATAAATATTAAGTGAAACGAAAGCTTGGCTGCTCTGAAAACTGCCTGCTCACAACTAAGCCAGGGTATAAACTAGTCAATAAAAAAGTGTTTATTGGGTGGTTCATTTTTCTTTTTTTGCTTTTCAGCTACAAGAATGATGATGTTCCCCCTCACGTGTCTCATGTCATTTCTTCTCTGCCACATCAGTGGTTTAAATTCCACTCAGGTTTCTCCAGGCTTGTTGACTCGGCCTGCCCCCCCACTTCTCCCCCCGCCCCACTGAACCAGGCTAGTGGGCTGCCAGGACGCACAGCTTGGTGCCCATCAAGCACCACTATACTCTCAGCACCACTGTCTATAAGGAAAGAAGAAAAAAAAAAGCCTGCTCTGCCTATTGGCAAGAAAGACTATTTTAAAAGTCCCATCATGACTCACCAGCACCCAAGTCTGTCATGTTTCAGGACAGACTCCCCCACCCCCAGCCCCAGGAAATTGCCGTGACTGTGCACAGACAGCACCTGGCCCCTGCTGCTGGTGCTCCCCCTCAGGTGGCTCCTGTCATTTCTTCTCTGTCCCCTTAGTGCTGAGCACGCTGAGGACACTCAGCAAATAGCAGGGCTCAGCCAGTGCAGTGCGCCCACATCTAAGCATGCGTTTCCCCTTTGGGAGCGGTAACCCGTTCTGCCATCTTTCCTAATTTGCCAAGTTTGGTTTGAGCTGCTGTCAAGCACCTTCATGGTCTCACCTCCTTCTGCCATGACAGATGGACCTCCCAGGCTGCTGCAGGAGCCTTCACTGAGAGAGCAAACAGCATGCAGGGAGCCCGCACCTGGCAGGTCAACTGAGATCGGAGCTCTCAGAATCGAAGCCTGAGGCGTCCGCGCCAGTACACTTACGTGACAGTGTGACCTTAGCGTGTCGATTTCCTAAAATACACATGTTTGTTCTCACCCCCGTAACCTCGCAGTCAGAATAGACTATTTGGGTACAACCTACAGGGTTTTCTGCAACTGAACATTTGTAACTCAAAGACAATGAAGGAATTTATTTCATGTTTTTTCCCCAAAAAAAACTAGAGTCAAATCTCCACTGCCATTTAAGGTAACTTTCTGCTTGTTTAAGAATATTCCAGCTGTGTTTAAGGCGTTCCAACATTCTCCTGCCAAAACCCCTGACAAATGAATTGGCAATATTATCAGGGATGTTGGCGAGCACAGACTGGACTCAACCATTAAATCCTCATTTGTTTTTGTTATATCTGATCAGGACGTTAGGATAGGGCTTTTGGCTCTTAAGACTTGTACACAGAGAGGGACTTGGGTTTGATCACACCATTTTAGTCTTGCCCACATAGTGCCTAAACATTCAGAAGTGTAGAGACTTTGATCTGATGCCCCTGGATTATTAACTATATCATATCATCTTGCTCTGTATACAATCTTCCAATCCCATCTCAGAGATGAGATTTTGCCAGTTAAGTCCTAGTCTGCAGTCACCCTCAGGTGCTGTAAATGACTGATCCCTTCATGCCAATTTTAAATAAGTGGACCCAACATTGGGAATGATTCATTGGAGTATTAATTTTTGTGCTCCAATGTTATTATACTGATAACATGTGTTTAGTGACCCCTGCCACTGCTAAAAAAGATAGAGCGAGGAAAATTGGCTGCATGACTATCTTTTGTCAGCTGGATGGGAATTTATTATAAACACGTTTTCCATAGGTTGAAATCTTCATGCTGCACACGTTATTTTAAATTATGCTTTTTTTCTGTTGAAATGTAGGCAGACTGCTGCATCTCTTTCAAAGCCCAGGCATTGTAGGTGCTTTTAAAAAGTGCCTGTAATTTTTTTTTTTTGTATGTACAGAGAAAGAATTCATCTAGTTCTCCAAAAATTCTCTTGCAGCCTAGAGAAGAGGTAGAACACCTGAGTTCAAATATCCTTTCAGTTGAAATGACAAGTGTAATAGATGTGTTCCAAAATCTCCTCTGTGACAGGTCACGTGCTTTCCTTATCCTGTCTGTAGGAGGAAATTACTTTGAGAAACCTTCCCAGTCAATCATTTATCTGTTTTAGCAAGAACGCAACCTCACTGAAATAAGAGAAATTCAACTTCTTGCATTTCCACTAGCAATCTCTGACTTTCTGAAAATGGAGACAATAAATAGTTACAAGATTGGCCGCATTCACAGACACAATTTTTTCTTTTGCTGTTATGTATTTAGAGGCTTTAAGACAGTGACATACAGGCTATCTTATCTAACCCCACCCTCCCCCCAAAAAATAATATGTAGCTTCATTGTTTGGGTACCTGTATCTTTTCTTTCCAATCTACTTTCTCTTTCATTTCTCAATGGCCTGAGAATTGACTGCTAAGACAGCACATACAACAGTCTAGAGAAGTTAAGGAGTAGACCCTTTAAGACCAGAGCCATTGTCCTGGCCGGATCTCGTGATTCCCCTCCCCCCACCACCACCACCATCACCACCAACCCCCTTGCACCCAGAAGCCATTTGTAGTAGGAGATAACTTAGTAGGGGGCAATTATGACCTAAGTTACTTCTGTCCAATGGAAAGGCATCTAGTTAACTTGTAGAAGGAGCCAGCAGCCAATCTTGGTGGTAGGAGCTGAGGTTAGTGAAAAGCCACCAAGTTGAGGCCTTAATCCTAAATAGCCACCGCAAAGTTTTCAGTGGTGGTGAAAAGAAAATTGAAATCTAACCGGAGCACTACCATGACCTACTGCTTTAGAGAAATTACAAAGGTTAAAAAGCTACCAATCCATGAAACATTTGGTTCTGAAGTTGCTTAACTTCCTCCAGAGTAGCATAGAGAGTGAAATATTTCAACATAGGCTCTCACTTTATAAAGGACACAATAATTTTCTCTCCTGAGTAATGGGACACAGCGCACAGTACAAAACATGACAGAGCCCCTATGGAGACAACTTGTCTCTTACTGCACCACTGCCAATAGAATAAAAAGGTTAAAGAAGTCATCAGATTTGTCAGATCATTTTTTTTCAGATGGGATGAGGATCATATAATTGGAAGCACCAGCCGAGCTTTAATTGCACGTTTCACAGGAAAGGGCAATGGGTTGAGCTTATAGAGGTATAATTTTATTGTTCTGTCGCTAATGCTTTTCTTTTTAGACCTGTTGATTACCATATCTCTCTCGCTAAGTTATTTACAAAAGTTCTGGTTGTTCTGAAATTGTAGTAAATGCATAAACTGTTCCTTATTGATTTTTGTTGACATTTTATATGGGTTTTTTTTTTATGCATTCTTAACCTCTGTTTGGAAACTGTCAGTTTGGCACATGTCCCTGGATAATAAGAGCAAATGAAGTGAATGACACAGTTCTTCTTGACCGTTCAAAGCAGTTAGTCCAGGATTCTCATGGCTTCAGATATGCCTTCATTAGATTATTTGCTTTTGCCTCCATTGTACTCTCAAGATAAAAAAATCGGAAAAGAAAAATCTGTTCGTGTTATTTCCTCCATTAATAATGACAATGTTTTTGAAGAGACATGACTTTGAAATGGATGGTAAATTTGGGACTCTATTATTTTAGAGCCGAGTATCAATATGGAAGCCAGTACAGGTGCTGTCATCTGCCTCACACACCATTCCGCCCGTCATCTAGGTGCCTTAGAGAGGTTGCCAGATGGCCTTCATTGATGACAGAACCTGCAGCCAGGATAGGCACAGGCAGCATGTGGATATAGAGAACGATATGGAACAGCTCAGCATTCATAGTGAGCTACCCTCAGGCTTCAGAAGGCCCGCTGAACTGGGAGGGGGATGTGAGATGAATCTCCCATGCACTGAGAATGTTGTGTGTTAAAAATTACAGCATAATGCAAAAAAAAAATGCATTGACTTATTTTATGACTGGATGTTGTTGTGCTTTGGGATTAATGGGCAGGCATTGCTGTTTGATTAAAAGGTGCTAGTACAGTATTGACTTGATAATCTCACCAGGTACACATGCAGAACAAAAGAAGGAATATGGTTTATGGCTCACAAATGGGTTTACATAAACCAAACAATCCACTGGCTGTTTAGACGTAGGACATTCTTTTTGGCTGGCTGGCAACAGGGCAGCCATCCGCCTTGTCGATGCCAGAATTCCGCTTTCTTGGATTCACTCTGAGATGACAACGGGCTTTAGCCTCTCAGTGTTTAGATCTGCTTCATTTGGAAATCTTTTAAGTAGTAATAATAATAAAGTTTTGAGGAAATTGAGTGGAACACTAAATTATTCTCTGATACCTAAGTTCAAACTGTGCAATGCTAAACAAGCTTAAAATCAATGCACTTTTATAGTCATTAGAGATCATAAGTGAGCCAAGTCTGCTTTGCTTTAGCTCAGATCTTAGTGTGCTGTGGTTTTATTATAAAATCAGCCTGAATCTGCATTAATTTCACAGTCTTTTTCTCTTAAAAGCCCAAGGGTGCAAGATGAATAAAATGTGAATTTCAAAAAGCAGTGTTTTTATTAGTGCAAAGGGCAATGAGCCATGTAGTTGGAGTGGTGGCCTGCATGCTAGCCAACACTGTGACAAGGAGCAGAGACAGGCACTATAGATTCTAGTTATTTTTCAGAATGAGAAAAAGATAGCCATGGCAAGTTCGATGGGCCTCATAGGAGACATTCAGAGAAATGTACATTGTCCTGTGAGTGTTAGACTGTAGGTCAGGTTGCTGATACATGTCAGAAAGTCACAACTTCCTAAAGTCATGAAGATTCTATACCAGTAAAAAATCCAATTCGAATTTAAAATGTTTGCTTTATATGCACTGTTGAACCTTAGAGTGATAGAGCATTTATTTTTGTTCATAATTAATAAATACTGATTTGTGCAGGGTTTGGTATATTGGTCTGCATTTGAATAGCATTAATGTATATTTCTACACATATACTTTTTAACTACCCTGAAGAGATTACATATATTTATTTGCTGACGTTTTTGAGTTCTTGGAATTGTATGCTCATTTGCCCTTGGAGTGAGGGTTTTATTATTTGCTGCTTAAAAATCGATGCTAAATTTTGAAATCCAGAGCCCTAATGTGTGAGTGCCTAAGTAAAGATAATCAACCAGCCAGAAAATGTAAAAGAGCAACTTTTTATTTTAGAAAATGTTAACTAGATCTTGCTAATTTCAAACCTGCGGTTAAAAAGAGTACCCGACTTCCTTCTCCTCATCTCCATTTTTAAAAAGTAAACTAATCAATCAACAGATCTTTCTACTCTGGTCAGATTAGCAAGTCAGCACTGTGCGTAAAAAGCAAAGTACGATCAAACCAAAGAGGGAAGTTGTTTATTTTTATGTACTACTGAGAACAGTGTCGTCCTGTGGCAGTTCTCGTAGACCGTGTTGGTTTAACAAGCGTCCAACCCTTTTGTCTTGTTGTTTTTTGTCTTTCCTGCTCCCTGTCCCCTTGTTTCCCACAGGCTGTGCGTTTGTCACATTTTCTACAAGGGCAATGGCACAGAATGCAATCAAAGCCATGCATCAGTCTCAGACCATGGAGGTACTGTATCATCTGCCCTTTCTTTGTTTTCTTTGTGCAAATGATGGGGAATGGTAACGCAATTCTCTCCTGTGTGGATTGTTCCCATGACAATCACAGATTTAAACTTTCACCACCTCTCTTTCCATGCATTCATACTCTTTCTCTCTCCCTCGCTTTCTTTCTCTCTCTGACTTTTCCCCTAATGACTTGAAATGGACTTAGGAAAGCCTTCCACCTGCTCCCATTATTTTTTGAGCCTCTTATTGCAGTGGCCCAGGGCCTGCCATGTGCAGTCACAATGCAATTGAAGCCAAGTAGTATTCTGCACCTGAAGGGTCCCATCCGCTCCTCAGCCCAGGGTTGGTATGGATTAAGCATGAACAACCCCCACTCCAAATTGCAACTTGCCCTGTGCTAACTCACGGGGTTCTTTTTGGTTTTTGTTTTTTTTTAATGTGGGATCAAGTTATCTTTAGTTACACGGAATTGTGTTTTTGCATCAAGAATGTTGGAGAAAGTTACTACTTCTCCCACTTCATTTAACCAGTGAAAACACTCATGGATGAGAGTCCCCTAAAAAATTAGATTTCTCTCCTTACTGAAAAATGAACAATAATCCAAAAGCATAAAGGCTCAAATTTGGTCTCCTAACGAGAGATAGTGGCTTTAGAGGAAAATAAAGATGCTGGCGTGGGTGCTCACCCGCCAATGCAGATAGATGGCTCTATACTTTTAGTCTGTGATTTGGGTCATGGCCTTTCAGAATTTTGCACAAAAGCATTCCAAGAGTGATATGCTGTTACTTATTCTGTGCTGTCTGATAGAATCATTTGGGAGTGCATGTGCTGCTGTATTATGTACACTGTATCTCTGTGTATGGGTGATCTTTTCCACAGGTGGCCTTGTGGCGTTATCTGAAGTTACATTTTTTTTATCTTTGGGGAAAAAAAATATTTTCCGCTTTATTTAATTAGCACAAATTTCTTAATTGATCGTTTGAGCTTCTTTTTTGGCCTCCATTTTTGGGGGGGTTTATTTTTTGTTTGTTTGTTTGTTTTGTTTTTTTTGCAATGCTGCATCTCCCAAAGCATGCTGGGAGCTAAGTGCTCATTATGCGTCATGTTTTGTGGCAACTTTTTTACAGTGAGCCAAAGGGTGGGTGGGAAGGGGTGGGGGGGAGGAGTGTGCATGGCATTGTCATTAAGTGTTTACTGTACTTTTCTAAGTTTTGATATCAGCATTGCAAAGCCTATTGTCTTTTTCGAACTTCATTTTGACTTTGATATTCCTAACATATCTTATATAATCACTGTGTTTTCCTTTCAGTGCAATGCATTTTTAAGACACTCCCACCCCCTACCTGAAGGCACGCTCAGGTGAAAATCGGCCATGATAGGAGATAATTAGCTGGATTTGAAATATCTAGGAGCCAGTTTCCTATGTGACAGTTTTTGTACCCCCGGTCCCCTAACTTCTGCTGCTCCATCATTGTGGATCAGTCTGATTTCCAGCTTCATGTCAGTTTAGAGATTAAAATGGAAGTACTATTAGGAAAAAGAAAGTCTTTACCTGTATTTATTACCTTCCATGTATATGCTTCATTCTTAATTATTTTTATTTTCTGTAGTTTAGTGATTTGTACCTAAATTGGTCTCATCTTAGATAATTTTTTAGTCTAAATTCTTTCCTCTCTGTTGGAAACATTGCTGCCCCAGCTGCTTCCCTCAGCGCCCCCTGATAAAGCCCCAGAGGGGCTGGCAGGGGCTCTGGTTCCCCCCATGTCACAGCGGAGGGAGAGCACAAGGAGAGAAAGCAGAACTGGGTATGAGCCCGACCCCAGGAACAATGGGCTCTCAAAATGAAAAGATTCTGCAATAGAGAATGGGGTGTGCTGGTTCTTAAGGAGCCCTTGGTCCTTTGTTATGGATATCTATTATAAAAAATCAAATTTGGTGCACTTGTTTGAAACCTGGACATCCATGCCTAAAGAGCAGGGCCCTCAGACACTTAAATGTCTCACTTAATTAAAAAATATTGGCATTTAAATGGAAAATTAGACATTACTCAGTTACATTATAGTCATACAGCTGAAGTTTATTTTCTTCATTTAACAGATTACATTATTTTCAGGACTCTGGCTCACATCTTTAACCAAGATGTGTCATCTAAGAGATTCGGATTCAAAACGATGTGAATGTCAAAGTTTAAAAGAACACGTTTTTAAAAATAATTGATTTTTAATATTGTACCTTCTATTTTTCTACTTTCCTCCAATCTCTCCCTATCCCATTTTTCCGTGTCATGGTTTAAACAAGTAATTTTTTGCTATAGTCATTGGCCTGATTTTCTACTTTTATATCATCTTATGGTATTTAAAAAAGAAAAAAAAATCAACAGTGAATGTACTTCTAGGAGGAGATGCTATAATTTGTTATGGAACAAATTTGATAGAGCAATAACAACCCTTTTCCATGCAAAACCCTTTCTCTATATAATTTTCACCTTCAGAGTATTTTGCCCTCTTTAAGGAATGAAGTGCTGAAATATGGAGCTGATGAAGAAAAATGAAGCATAGTTTTTTTTAAATGGTGGAAATACTACTTTTATGCAGTTTACTGACATTTAACATTCTGTCCTGTGACTATGGCTACCAGAGCTAAAGACTAATACGCTGGAAATTCAACAGTCACCTCATTTTTCTCCCATTTTTTTGGTAATACAGACATGATCGTCTCACATGGTCATACCTCCCCAATAACTACCCAAGGTGATAAGAAAAAAAATGCAAGGGAGTTTTCTAGGAGAAAGAAAGTGACCCGGTCCAAGGGAAGAGAAAGGAAACGCTCACTTAAGTAGGAAAATAAAATTCTGAGAGGAGCGAGAGAGGTCTGTTATCATGCTGAGTTTCAATAAAGGGGCTTTGTTTTTTTTAATCACTTGGGTAGAATTCTTTTTACCTCAGCAAAACTTAACAACTGTAATTGTGATGAAATGTGTAGACAAGCTGTACTAAGAAGGACAGGAGAGTGGGGAGGGAGGAGAAACGTCTCTGCAGATGTTTACCAAATGCAGATGTTTAACGGGGCTTCTAAACGGAGGTCTTCTTCATGCCTCGAGGAGTTAGGCCCTTATTTTCCCTGTGCTTTTATCTGCATCAAACATGAACTCGTCCTATTTTATAACCCTTGGCCATTTCTTACTACCCCTACTCCTTGCCTTTTAAAGGAAATGAAAACTGAGAGAAGCACCTAGAAGGGTGAGATTTGTTAGAAAAAGAAGCCAAGTGGACTCCTCCTCCTGCTGCCATTTATTCTGTATCTCCTTTGACTGGACCATACTGCTAGGGTTTTGGTTCACAGTAGCTCGGGGGACTGTGGATAGTGTAGCCGTGACACAGGAAGGGAGATCTTTCTGAAAACATGGGGACAGTTATGTTGGTCAATGCCCATGTTCTCTGACTCTCTCCTCCCTTCATCCGTGTTTCTAATACAAATCCCCTTCTCCCAGTCATATTGCTGGATCAGTATTATCCCCACAGTTAAAAAATCCATAAACTGAAAATTTGAAAATCGGAAAAATTCCAGTTTCCTTGCCCCCTGCTCACATGTGGAAAGAGGTAGACACCCGAAACAGGTCTATCTTTCAGACAAGTGAACCGTGCAGCTTAGTTAAAGAACATAGATAAGGTCTGTGGTCTCTGAGGAGGTTCTGGGAAGGCTGAAGGAAGACACACAAAGAAGGAAGGAGAGGCAGTTTCATAACCTGAGCAAGAAAGCAAATGGCTCCACCGACCACCAGATCCCCAAGGAAACCAATGACCGTATCTGGAATTTTCTGTTGATGGTACTATTCCAGAGAAGAAGAAGGAATATCAAACCATTTTAAAACCATTCCGACCATTCCATGTGCTCCAAGGTAGTTCAGAAAGCTAGATCCAGGGCTGAGTCTGATGAGAGGATTGGACCAGGCTGTAACTCCCTCTTCACTTTCCGCTGTGTCTGACCACAGGGCTGCTCTTCACCTATCGTGGTGAAGTTCGCTGACACGCAGAAGGACAAAGAGCAAAGACGCCTCCAACAGCAGCTGGCGCAGCAGATGCAACAGCTCAACACTGCCACCTGGGGGAACCTGACGGGTCTGGGCGGACTCACCCCACAGTACCTGGCGGTAAGTGCCGGAGGCCAGTCAGTGCGTGGTCCCCAGGAGAGAGGGGAACATGCCCGCTGTTCCTGCTACAACCTACGTGTCCCCTGAGTACGCTAAAGAATTCATTTGGGGGACACTTAGAATCTCAGGAAATTATTGAACTCAGCATTGATGCAGGATATTTTAAGCACATGAGTAATTTAATTCTTGACTGATAGAGACTGAGCAAAGTCCCACAAGGCTAAATTTCTAATCCCTGTTTCAGAGACATCATAAAATTCCCCTGATAGACTGTTGTTAAGGAAACTGAGGCAGCTGTGGATGGAGCGCTCACTGCCTCAGGTACGTCGGTTCCATGTCAGGGCCTCAGCTGGAATCCCTGTGGAACTTTCTTTCAGAGATCCTGGGTCTCTCCAGGACACCCTGTTGACTAGACCAAATATTTCTTAACTTTATCTATTAGATACCAAAAAATTAGATCCGATTTCAGGCCAAAGAGACCCAATTCTTTCAGTCATCCCTCACATTTCATTGTTTCTAAGCTTTCACTTTCTCGGTTTTCCCATTTCACCCTGTCAATGTCTTTGTTAAATACCATCACCAGAAGTTAAGACAGTTCCCCTGGTGAGACCTAAATAGCACAGGGCAGTGGCCGTTAGCATGGACTCTGAAGTCTCTTAATGTAGCTCGAGAGTGGCATTTGTAGTAACACGGAAGGCAGCTAATACGCCTCTAAGTTTTTATTTCTCTTTGCTTGAACTGCTGCCAAACCATGTTACCCTACTCCATTTTTCTGTTTTGGAACCTAAATGCTGGTCTCCTCATTTATTAATAGAATTTCATGTTGTGAGATTGGGCCTTTTTCTCAGCCTCTGTCGTGTGTGTGTGTGTGTGTGTGTGTGTGTGTGTGTGTGTCTGTGTCTGTGCCCTAACTCTGTCATTGGACCTAACTGTCCCTCTCAGGATTGTGTCATCCACTAGACTGACTTGATCACAGAACCTGTGCTGTTCTGCCAGGCAGTCCTCCCTAGGCCCTGACAGGTCAGACCACCTGTCTGTAGAGGAGAGAAAAGAGAGACTCAAACGGGTGACATCACTTGCCCCAGGATTGTGCTGCTGCTGGCCCCAGGGGTGCGCCCCTCTGTGTGTTCCCTCCATGTGTTCCCTCCGTGTGTTCCCTCCGTGTGTTCCCTCCGTGTGCCCCTCCGTATGTTCCCTCCATGTGTTCCCTCCGTGTGCCTTTCCGTATGTTCTCTCTGTTTGCCACATTGCTTCTCAGAGAACAGACATGGCTCCTGTTCCTTTATTCCCCAACCCCTGCCCAGTGCCCACTGGGTCCTGCTTATAATAGCTTCTCAGTGCACGTTTGATTAATAAATGAGGAGCCAGCTTCTCCGGTCTTCATCTGAGTCCTTACGAAAGCCAGTGACCGAATTTGCTGTCATTTTCAGGCCATTCATTCCTCCACGAAGGCACCATGGGAGGTTTTGCCAGGTGTCCTGCTAAAACCTATACAGGATCTGCCATGTCTTCTTGTCCTATCAGTGTACAAATGTTACGAAAAAAGAAATGAGTCTGACTTAATAACTTGTTTTTCACAAACTTGGGCTTTTCAGATGTTCACAGACCATCTGTTCAGTGGTGTATACAAGAATTTTTATCAGAGATTGAAGTCAAGCTCCCCTTTTCGTGGTTTCTAAGCATCCAGCTTCCCACTGCACCGTTTCCAAAAACCAAGGCACATGTGCCGGTCCCTGGTCCCCAGCACAGCTCCATGCCCCACGGCGTAACAGAAGTCTCTGGCTGTTTCTTTGGTCACAAATGCAAGTGACTTCTGTTCCCTGGAAGAGAATTGGCCTCATTCTCGTGTCTAACACACGTTTCCGTGCGCTCCTTACCATGCTTTCTCCTGCTCGGAATCGGAAGTCCATCTCTGCAAGGGCCCGTGGCCTTTGAGGTGCTTCCTGCCTGGGTGTTGAGGGGCGGATTCTGAGCCCGACTCACCAGAGAATGGTTTTCGTGGAAAGAGCCCTCAGTAGTAGTTTCATGACACTCCAGCCTGAGCCTGCTTACCTCGGTAGGCTCTATTAATTCCTCAAAATATCTTCAAAGTGTATTTAATTTTACTTAACTTTAGTTTTTTAAAAAACCTAATAGGAGGAGTAAGGGGTTGCAATCACATTAGAATGAAAAACCCAAGTAATCAAACCAAAGTAAGGGACTTTTCTATTAAAATGGATGATCCCTGTCTTCTCCCTCTTCCTCCCTTTCTTTGTGTGTGTCTGTTTCTCTCTCTTTCTTTCTGTGATACCTAGGTAATATACAGGGGTGAGCAAAAGTAGGCTAGATTACCAGCCATGATTGTCTAAAAGATAAATCATAACTAAGATAAGAAATAATAATAAGACAAATAAATACAATAATTGATAAATTAATGATAATACAAGAATAAACTGTTTCATGTACTCACAGCTATAAACCTACTTTTGCCCACCCCTGTATTCAGCAAGTGGAGAAGGATGAGAGAGCGTTAGAGACATTTTTCTGGTAACGGTTAAAGTTAATCCCTGTGATACTATTGTCACTAAATCTTTGGTTTAATTAGCCACTGATACTCCACTCTACTCAGTGCTTTCAAGTGAACTGATACATGCCTACTTTTGAGTCATGTTTATCACGGAGTTTTGTTCTTATTGAACCGAGGGAATGATGGTCTTCTACGTTTTGTTTCACAGAGCTCCAAGCAAACTCTGAAAGCTCTCTTTTAGGTAGTGAACCCTTCTCCTCCTCCAAAGCACATAACAACTTTTCAATAATAAATTCGGTGTGAATCTATGCTTTTTGGTATTCATGTAAATCTGAGTAGTGGAGGCAACTATATGCTTGTCCCTGTGTACAAACTATGTCTCTATTGATCAACCTTAACAGAAAGAGAATATCAATACATTTAGTCAAATACTTAGTATAGCACCTGAGTGTTAGCCTATAATTCAAGTCAATTGGGCCAGTAAAGGAGCATTTTAGGGCAGTAGCCACACGCCTGTGCCTTGTGGCAGCCACTGAGTCCACGTGGGGAAACGGTGATGCTGACATGTTTGTGATTCAAAGTGCAGCCTCACCAGCTTCCACGTGCTGACCGGCGGCATGTTTCTCGCTGCAGTGAAGACCCTGTTAAAAGGGACCGTCGTGGCCATGTCGCCGTGGCTGTGAAGAGAGACGTCATGTCTGTAGTTATCATGATGATTTCTCTGTTGGCCCAAGAATCAGTGGCTCCGTGAGCATCTAATAAAGGATGAAGGGAACAGAGCTGTGAAGGGACGTGGAAGGGACCGAGGCAGGGACCCTGATTGACGGGACTTACAGTAACGACGAGGCTGCCGAGAGATCGCATTAGTCACGCCACGTTGGTTTCAATAGATTGCACACCTGGTTGTTAAAAAGAGTGGATTGATTAATTGTTTTAAGGCAGCAGTGTTATTGAGTTTCCCCAGTGTCTGTGTCTCTTAATAGAGATCAGACAGTGCTATGGATTTACAGCCCCAACTCTGGGAACCTTCAGTCCATTAAGAGACAGCAGCCACCAGCTGTACAAACGTAACAGAAGTGGGATGTGTTAGTGCAGTTTGGAAGCCACTTGGCCCTCACCTCGAGGCTTGTTAACGGTTGCGTCTCCCTCCGTTCGCAGCTCCTGCAGCAGGCCACCTCCTCCAGCAACCTGGGCGCCTTCAGCGGCATTCAGCAGATGGCGGGTGAGTGGTGAACCACGCCTTTCCTCTGACTGTGCTGTTGTCTGAATCCAGGGGGTTCAGAGGGCAAAGGAAAGCAGCAGCGGGGACAAAGAAGAACAAAAGCAATTAGCAGCCCTCTTTGCTCTCTGGTTGGGGTGTAAAAATTAGACTAGCTGTGGGAAAGCTGCCCTCCTGCCTCAGGCATTTCCAGCAGTAGTAACGTGGGGGCACAGCGCGTTCCTGCATAGTACACCCGTTGTCTTATTTTTAAAATTGGGATTGGTTACTGGGGAATTTCCAGCAAGATTCTTGTATCCAGGGCAGCCAAAATGATTAATGTCCTTCTAAAATTTTAATAATAGGCGCTCAATAAAAAAACGGTCTGACCTCCATAATGAAAGCCTGGACTGCAGGCCTGTCTATAATGGTCTGTGTCCCCTGACGTCCACAGACAATGAACAGGGTGCCTTTTCCACTGTAGTCCCCCAGTTGACAGAATTGGGCATCAGACGCTTTTATGTGAAAGCATAATCTTTGTTCTTGAGAGAAATCAAAGTGTGGCTGGATTTGAAAGGCAGCGCGCGAAGGGTTGCTTTTTCTAATGAGCTGTGTCAGCGGTGAGGAGGTGCGGTGACTAGTGACAGGTCACTCCTGCTGTGTCACCTTCAGGCTGGTCCCCTAACTTTCCACAGGGCGGGGCAGGCCGCTTGTGCAAGAAATTGGAACACAGGTGCCATTCACCTGCCGCGAGGAACAGCCAGAGCGCTTTTTCCTCGTTTCTTTCCAGAGAGGTGGGGAGCCAGGGCTAGGAGAAGCACAAGTTTTTGCCCCGTTAAAATCAGGCAGTTTGTTTTAATCAAGGACACCCTGAGTCAATGTGCAGAATAAAAGCCATGATGAAAACTCCTTTTTTTCCCTCTCTTTTTTTTTTCTTTCCAAATACATACCCTTGGTTGCTTTTTTTCTTGTTTCAATTTGAATGGATCTGGAAACACTCTCCATGAGTGTACACAGGTTTCCCCTCCTGTGTGCTGTGATCCTCAGCCCAGCCTTTCATTGTGGCTTCACAGGCTAATGGTAGCTTGTCTGACAGGACAGATTGGCCCACAGTAAACATAATGCAGAATTAGTCACTGGGCTCTAAATCTACTGGCACTGCCAGCTTGTTCTGTTGTAATTACAGCTTTTGGATTATTGGGGGGAAAATGTATGTTCAAATGATAAGTAGTTAAATCATTCATCGGTATCTTCATGAATACAGTTTGGGAAGCTGGCCTTGGAGCTAAGAATCATATCGAATGGTTCATTTATTTTTAGTTCTGTGAAGGGAATTGGAGTGACATAAGTAAAATATTCAGGAAGTTTTCTATGTTTTAAAAAGAGAAAACCTCCAGATTGCAAGCGCTAAAATAAATGGTAAGGTTTGTCCCATTTTCCACGGAGGCTAGATTTGTTTTTCTTCTAATAGAAAGAATGGCTGCACCTAGATCCAAAGTTAGGGTCCTTGCTTCGAGGACGCCTCGGGCCCTCCTCTCCCACCGCTGAATTATGCTCTGGCTGCTGCCAAGCGCACTTCCCGGGCGGACAGAGCACCCTCACTTGTTAGCTGTGTGCTTTTTGGCCTCGCCAGCCACAGGTCAGGATGGAGTTCACGTGCTTAGCGTGCTCATTTACACACAGGTATCTGGGAGTCACCTTAGAGGGTGCATGGATCGGATGGCTAATGTGAGGCCTCTGTAAATGCACTGGGCTTCCCCAAGTGCCCCGTTCTTGAACCTTCAATATATGAAGTTCAGCACCCTGTGTCTGCCCAGGTCAGAAAATCAAATGCTGACAGTCCCTGGGGACCACTGCCTTGAATATTTAGAGTGTTAAGGATGTAGATGTCCAGGCTGTCTGCTGGGCGAGTTTTCTATAAAGGGTGCCCTTCGTTCGTAAGCATAATTGTGTCGTGGTCCTAATTGTTTGAAGCATTGTGGTTTGGGGTATTTTTTTTCCCAGTAAGATGAAGTTCAATGGCCTGCTGCTCTTTCCTGTCTGCTGGGCGAGTTTTCTATAAAGGGTGCCCTTCATTCGTAAGCATTATTGTGTCATGGTCCTAATTGTTTAAAGCATTGTGGTTTGGGGTATTTTTTTCAGTAAGGTGAAGTTCAGTGGCCTGCTGCTCTTTTGTCTTCTCCCAGAAGTAGGGCTTCCTTTTTTGTCTTTGCCAGTCATCTCACCCAGTATTAAAAAGTGACCTGTGATAGAGGCCACTTGCTAGAGGAAGCCTCCCCAACTCACCAGATGTGGGAGGGGTGCCCCTCTCTCTTGTGCCCCGACCCCTGACTGCCTCCCCGTCCTCCCTCACCTCTCTGACACGCCTGAATCGTCAGTGCTCCGCGAGGCCGTGGCCTGGGCTGATGGACTCAGCCCTCACTCCTCCAAGAGGTGCTCACAACTATTTTTGAGTGAATAAATTTATAAACCGACAAACTCAAATTTATGTTTTGGATACATTCCCAATGGCGCTAAAGTTAAATGCCTGCTTTCTTAATTAAGAAATTGGTGTTAGCCTTACATCTAAGCGCCCAACCCCCACCCCCACCCCCCCAAAAAAAACTACATTATATAAACTAAGGACAGTATGTTCACGGGTAAGTTAAATTAGAGAGTTTGTACAGCATCATGCATGTTATGGTGCAGATGCTCTGCAACACACATGGCACACATAGGGAGGAGGGATATGAAGGCACACGGAGG